CTATAAGGTTGGTTTAGCGAGTCTGAATTTGAAAAAATCCTACCGCGCTTTTGAAGGTTCTTCACCCGGACGATATCACTCTGCTAAGAGGTAATCATGAATCTCGTCCGGTGAATATGCAATACGGTTTCTATATGGAAATAAAAAAGAGGTAATGAGTTGGGCAAGATTCGTACAGAAATTGAAAACTAGGGTCCAGATACTCAGCGACATTGTACGAGTGCTTCCAATACGCTTTCTACACGATGCCATTTTGTGCACGAGTTGAAAAACGTATCCTTTGTATGCATGGCGGAATCAGCGAAGAACTGATGGATTTCAAGCAGGTGCGAATTTGGTCATTGGGCCAGGGACAGTTGTCCTAAGAAGCTTATTTCTTTCAGCTTGAGAAGATCGAGAGGCCATGCGATATACCCGATATAGGCGTCATTGCCGATCTGACATGGGCTGATCCCGACCCGACCATATCCGGCTTTGAAGAGTCTCCTCGAGGTGCCGCTCGGATCTTTGGTGCAGATGCATTGAAGAACTTTTGCAAGTTACATGGCCTTGACTTAGTTGTGAGAGCGCACCAGGTTGACTCATTGAGAAATCAAGGAGTAATCAATCAATCATGACATTTTGTTCCAGGTGGTACAAGACGGATACGAATTTTTTGCTGATCGACACCTCGTCACAATCTTTTCGGCGCCAAATTATTGTGGACAGTTTGACAACACAGCCTCAGTAATGCTTGTCAACAAAGATTTGGTCGGACTGACATCAAATGTTTGATGTACCAGACTTCAAGGAATCTTTTCAGAATTGCACGTTTACACTCCACAAACCAATCTTGAAGAAGCCTTTGGCGGCATGATTAGAACATTTCTCAAACGGTTAAACTATTAAGAGGGATAATAAACGTTTATGAGACGGAAGTTTTCAATCTAACGTGTTTTCGTTGTTGGAATGTCTCGCACCGCTTCTATGTGTGCGTCAGAGTTATTTCAATAGATATCCTTGAATCAACTGTTACTTAATGAGTCTGCACACTATGCGCAGTATCGACGACGTCCTTACCAGTTACTCCTCACAATATGAATTGGCGGCAAAGTGTCTGTTTCAAAACGTCTTATGACTTAACATTCCTTCCTTCACTTCTCACCTTCTCTTCTTTCCATACTTCAGCTCCGAGTTAAAATTGCAGCGCTCCTAGGGTGAAATTC